TTATGGAGCAACTTGCAATGTGAACAGACTGACTGATGTTGTAGTGGCCAGGCTTAGGCTTGGTTACAAGTACTTCTGGCAGTTTGGGAGAGACACAGATGATGATCAAACTAAATGTAAATTATGTGATCAGGCATATGGTCACTCTCTTGAACACTGTGTGCTTAATTGTCCACTTATTGAGGAATACAGAGACAGACAGTATAATAACCTATGTGACATGTCAAGATATCTTATTAATGAAAATAAGATACCAGATATACTAAGCAAATTTCCTAAATTTGCTTGTAACAGATAAGTGACTAGATATGTAGATATAAATCCATATGTATTCCTGTTAACCCTTTGGGGCCTAGTTCCTAGGCCTTTTGTGTATCCATATGCTCTCGCGCTACCGTCCACAGGATGGATATGGGGTGCACAATAAACTAGCCACTTCGGTGGCAAAATCTAAATAAAAAATCTACACATATGCTGCTACGTATGATAATTCTATGTAACTGTATTTGTGTATACCTGAATAAACTTACTTAAGTCGTGTCGTCAGCAAAGAGAATGGGGTTTCGGGTGTTGGGATACGTTTGGAAGATCATTGATGTAAATGAGGAACAGCAGGGGTCCAAGGACACTTCCCTGCGGAACTCCAGTATCAAGTGGCCGTGTTGATGAGGCTGTGTCTTTAATGGTGACATACTGATACCTATTAATAAGGTAGGATTTGAAATATGCAAGCGCATGGCCTCTTATACCATAATGGCCAAGTTTGTGGAGTAGGATGCCGTGGTCTACTGTGTCAAAAGCTTTTCTTAGGTCAATAAAAACTCCTAGCGACAAGTGGATAAAAAAAAGGCCTTCTTGAGCCTCTCAGGCAGAGGCTTTCAATACATTATCGTGCACTCCATATTGTGCGTATGGTGTTTTTGCTTTCTACCATTTTTCATTACACGCAGACCAGCAGCGCTGTATATCCCTTGTGGCTTAGCGCTTCTTTTTGATAATAATAATAATTACACGCAGACCAGTGGTCGCTGTTTCCATGGTCCACCCGTGACACTAACCACTAATCCCAGCACTGGTAAGCCAGTGGTTTTCAAACCCATTTTTATCTTGACCAGTGTTTTTGAAAAGAAATCTCAACGCAAACTTCATGCGTCTCATTGCAATTAATTACAAGATCATATACGATCAACTTTCAACAAATGTCAACGTTATTCCAGTGCCGTACCTGGTAAAACTACCTGCCTATTGTCAAATATTTTAACAGTATCCTTGTGGAAAATTGCATTTACTTGGATGTATAATTACATACACAACAGTAAATGAACAAAGATAACTATTATTTATCAGTTAGACAAGTAGGAATTTGGGACACCTAGGTCGCAAAAATGTCCCCCTTCGATACCTACCACTGTCATATCCACAAGTTGCTCTGGACCTATTAATTAAATGAATTATACATCAGGAATTCTGGTAAATATATAAATTTGTGGACTGTATATTAAATTAAAAAATGATTATATATAAATACACAATTACATAACAGAAGGAAAATATATCTTAATATCACTCACCAATTTGACTGGAGATTAATGTGTATTGTACCCAGAAAACCTCACTGTCTAAATTTATGAAATTACTGGCCAGAATTAAACATAAACAGACTTATCTGAGGTTCCTGGAGCTGTGTTATCCAGTCGCCTGATACTCAAATTATGCAGGAATGCACATCCAACAATTTTGCCTCCTATTTGAGAGGTGTCAGCCCAATTTTAACCTCTAGAGCACGAAAAATTCTTCCCATTCACTAACGTTCTGTTATGTAAGTCGACTAGCAACGACCTCCGCCCGGCCGCAGTGTGGAAAATATTTTAATTTTCCGAAACTATAGTGCCTAATAGGTGTTTAATGTGTCGATATGAGTCAAAAATGTATTTGACAATAGGATAGAACCAAGAGTTTCCTTTGCGCATGCGCAGATGTGCGGGGGTAGAGGTCGACTCGGGGCATGGGAGAGGCGGCAGTTTTTTGAAGGTAGTGAGGAAGCTGTGAAACATGGGATCAGGAAATTGGCATTCACGGCGGCCTAAGGATTAATATAGGCCTCACTTCCTAATAGGAAGTGTCGTAACTGTTCCTGGTGAAGAGTGAGGGAACGTGATTTACGTGACCACCGTAATAAAGTGGTAAAATGAGTGGATAATAGTAAGACCAGGTGTGACGAGTGCGCTGCCATGGAATGTGTCCAGCTGAAATTACCCGTGAGTTAATCCTCACTCATCGGTCTCAGATCTTAATGGAGTGACCTCTAATGTGTATAATAATTATGAGACGTTAAATCGTCTTGTGAATGGTAATGTAATCAGTGATAATAACATTAAGTTAAGAGAATGCGGGAAGTGAAATAAATCGCCCTGCTACGAGTGAACGCGTGGTTCTCGTCCCGAGGATAGCAAAGTTTTATGGAATCACGACTTCTAAACCGGGACAAACCAACGGATACCTCGTCCTGCTGGAATAAGAACCGTGTCGGTGTAGCAGGACATCGAAATGAGATGGTGAATGGAGGAAATAAGGAGTATCAATTACCCACAGTTAAGTAACTTTTCTAGTTACAGCAGACTGATACTGGCCAGTTAGGTATGTTATAATTGGATAGGTTATGAGTGATCCAGCTACATCAAGTGACCACCAGAGAATATCTGGTAAGTGGTGAGATTATGTACAAGTGTTTCTCCTTGATGGATATATCCATGTGTAACCTACCCCCCCATCCTTCATTCAGTTACACTAATATAATCTATACAGTCCACAATTAATTAGTAGCACCGTACTTGTGGGTGCTATCCAATCCATACTGGTCTCGGATAGATATGGATAAGATTGTGAGGTCGAAGGAACCACCTGCCGTGACCAGGGGTGGTTAAGTTTCCTCACATGTCTACACAGGGTGACTACGGTAAACAATATTGTTGTCTCCCAATGAGTTTACTTGTATGCATGTAATGTTGAGGTACATAAAGGTAATCACCCCTATAAAATTTTCCACACTGTCCTTTGAGGTAAAATAATTTAGTTACACAGGCTAGGTCACTCCTGTCATGCACAGCTGCTTTAAAAATTGACCAAAATTCCTCCCAATATTCTCCAGGATTAAACACAGGCAAACACAATTCTGGGAGTTTTGGCAAAGACATATTATTTGTTGGCAGACTGACCAACTGCCTGGTTTACACATTTTAATTTATTCAAAGCCTGACTTTTACAAGAAAGAATCTTTTCCTCTAATTCATAATACTGATTAATCATGAGATCTATTTCAGTCCCATCTACACAGTTTACTAATAAATCTCCTTCATATTTGTTGTAATATAATTTGTATGAATCATATCTATTCCCTAAAGCATCTAAATACAATTTTAAATCATCAGTATTCACAGTTTCTTGATTCATTAATTCCAAGCACTTATTATATGCCTTGGTTACATGACCCTTTCTAGCCTGTATTGATGCTTTCTTTACTCTATATTCCATATGTTTGTCTTCTATATTAATTTCCTCATTTTCAGCCATGATGTAATGTATTAAATTCAACTTAATAACACTGATTATGTACTAAATTATTCACTTTATAAAAGTAAATAGTACAACTTACCTTTAAATAAATTCTAGCTACTTGAGCTTAGCAATTACATGTAAAAAATTGTAATATAAATTTTAAATACACATTAATAATGTTAGCTACACTTGAGCTTAGCAATTACACATGTAAGAAATTTATATATAAATTTTAAATGTACATTAATACAAACCTTTAGCCAACCTTGGCTTATCAAAATTATTATACAAATTAATATAAATCCTTGCCAGAATTTGGCATAGCAAAATTAATATTATACACATTAATATAATTAGCAACAGTTGTCTTATCAATTACACATACACTGATATAAATCTTGGCCAGAATTGTCTTATCAAATTAATATTATACAAATTAATATAAACTTAGCCAGACTTGACTTATCAAAATTAATATTGTAATAATTATAATCCACTACACATTCAGAAAATTTGTGAACTTAACATCCACCTCCTTCTGTCATTTCACATATAATTATTAATTAATTAATTAATTAATGACTTCACTAATTACCTCCGGTTCAAGAAGGACCAACGGGCAAATTAAATGTGGAAAATTGCATTTACTTGGATGTATAATTATGTACACAACAGTAAATGAACAATGATAACTATTATTTATCAGTTAGACAAGTAGGAATTTGGGACACCTAGGTCGCAAAAATGTCCCCCTTCGATACCTACCACTGTCATAACCACAAGTTGCTCTGTACCTATTAATTAAATGAATTATACATCACCAGGAATTCTGGTAAATATATAAATTTGTGGACTGTATATTAAATTAAAAAATGATTATATATAAATACACAATTACATAACAGAAGGAAAATATATCTTAATATCACTCACCAATTTGACTGGAGATTAATGTGTATTGTACCCAGAAAACCTCACTGTCTAAATTTATGAAATTACTGGCCAGAATTAAACATAAACAGACTTATCTGAGGTTCCTGGAGCAGTGTTGTCCAGTCGCCTGATACTCAAATTATGCAGGAATGCACATCCAACAATTTCGCCTCCTATCTGAGAGGTGTCAGCCTAATTTTAACCTCTAGAGCACGAAAAATTCTTCCCATTCACTCTAACGTTCTGTTCAATTCAAAACCAAGATGGCGAGTCTCGTCTGCGCAGATGCAGGCTTTCCGTTTTCTATGACATAAATATTATTAAATACAGTATGGCCATCTATTTATATATAAATACTGAATTTCTGGAAAATATATACAGTATTTTCCACAAACCTAATTAAAGAAGGAGAGCTCCAGATTGATGAAAACAGTAAGAGACAAAAGCCAAAACTCATCTTCAAATATTTTCTGTTCTTTAAAAGAAATTGACAGGTGGTCATGAGAACTCACCTGACGTTTTGGATCACCTACTTCGCCCACCACAAACAAGGGTCTAATGCCGGTGAGCTGGGCGAGTGCTGGATGACCCCACGAGTGACGCACGAAGTGACGTTGACGCCAGTTCTCGACAGACGTCACCACCATGGCCAGAACCAGCGGTGGCTCCTCGCAAGTCTCCTTCACCTCGAACGAGAACCTTACTTGGTCTGGATAATGGTTCAACACCTCCCCCTCTATCCGAGCCTCAGCCTGCAATATCTAATATGACGTCACATCTTCCTGTCGCATCAGGAATGATATGTACCACTTTATAGAACACACTTTGAATATGTATGTATATATATATATATATATATATATATATATATATATATATATATATATATATATATATATACACACAATTCTCATTGAGACACTGGAGGTTCAAAAAAATAATTTCCATTCCATTAGGTTGGACACTGACTTTGTAATGACGATCCCAAGATGCAACGAGCTGACGAAAATCCTGACTTCTATAAGTCTTGTTTGATACATAAACATGTGATCTCGAGAAGTGGCCATCACGAGGTGAGGTCACACTGATGTTCAAGCCAGCTTCTGTGAACGTGAAGAGACGAGCGTAGGATATCCAGAAGAAGATTAATACCACCAGTGTGAGCAGCCAGAATGTTCTAGCTCCCAGCCACTGGTGAAAAGCCATCCACCTGTAAGATAGTTATGCTGTTAGTTAACACATGACATTCAGTGTTAACCCTCAATACACTATTCAACGCCTTAGTAAAATATATATCAAGAGGTTACACCTCGTCAGGCTGGCGATATTCTTGTATGTACAAAAACTATCGCGACATGCCAACCACTTCGATTTATGCAAAGAAAGCCTATAAAAGCCTCGCTTAATTATTGTAGAGAAAACTTCAGGTGTTTAAACTGGTACAGTAAAAAATTATTACCTACACTAAAGGTCAACATACCTGTTATGATTTATTGTGATTATCTTGATACATTATTATTATTGTGGAAATTTGTCTGGACTGCCTCTATGTGAGTTGCCTACCCTAGCAAGCTCTGTTGACACCGAGCTCTGAGGTCGGTACCTCAGCAGCACAAGTGGTTTATAGGACAGATTTTCATAAATGACTGATGTTGCGAGAAATCTCGCCTGCATGCACGTATAAAGGATTAACTTACTTGGTGTTGGAGAATGTATCCCGGTCTGCAACCTCCCTAAGCTTTAGCCTCTCTGGACTTCCCCTCAGAACCACGTGCAACCGGGAGCCTTAATTTCTGCAATATTCAGTCGGTATTAGTGACCTGCCTGCACCTCAGAAATTCCTGTTTCCAAGGGGGTGTGTATCCCATAGTACAACTATGGGATACACACCCCCAGTGTCACTGGGGGTGTGACACCCCTAGTGTCATTTCCTGCATAGTACAACTATGCAGGAAGTGACACTAGCTTCTAAGTTTTAACCACGAGGAGACACCGGCACGTACCGATCATTGGCCGTCCGCTTGCACAAAGACCCACAGTTCAACTCACCGCAATTTTCCCCAGAAACTGGCCAGAATACTGAGAAAGAAAGGGACGTCTTGTCTTACTGTATGGGCCTGACGGAGGTCATCTACAGTACTTCGAGGTGCCTCCACCAGATTTCCCCAGGTCTAGTATGTGAAGACACGTGGGGGCGCCGCCCTGCTGTTCACGGCACTTGTTATTCAGATGGTATCTGATCTTAGGAGGCACTGCGGTCTCAAAACCCCGTGCCCCAGCATTCAAACTTGGGCTGCCAGCTCTCCCTAGCTAATATAAACTAGTGTTTGCCTATATTACCGGCCTATTACTACCTACGTTAAGGTCCTAGGTCTACATCACTATCTACAGTTGCCTCAATAGTCCTAATATCAGATTACTAACAGTATAAACTTCCTACCTCTTCCTTGAAGGGTAAATCTATCAATTAAAATGTACTTTCCAACCACCTTCGCGAACCCGGGTGTGTGTGTTTTGGGGTCGATGTAAGGGCCAGCAGAACTCAGACGGCCTTTCCGTGGAATATAGGGCCTTCATACGACATATCTGCCCTGTGGAACTTATTCGATCCTAATCAAAGGGGAAGCGCTAAACCCGAAGGTATCTTCATACAGTATCCCGGGTACACTAACAATTGGACCTGGAAAACAACCTCTGTAGTGTGTCTGAGCTCTGAGAGCTGCCACAAGGTATTACTTTAATAATGATACTTACGTAAGAACTGTTAAAATGGTGTATAGAGCCCATGTTAGAACTTTTATAGATTACCATACATCGGTCTTACTCCCAAAGAGAAAAAAAATCAGTAAAAATTTTGATGAACGTGAAAAGGCGCAAAAAAAAAAAAAAAAAAAAAAAAAAATCATTCTTGACTCAAATACGTATTAGAATTTTAAATATAAGGAAATAATTTGGTTTCCAATCATATAAATTCTACATTGCAATTGAAGAATATTTTTTATAAGAACCACGAAAAAAAAAGTAAAAATTGAGTAAAAAAATATATATATTAAAAAAATTAAGTAAGCTGTATCAAGGAAGAAAAAAAGATCCTAGCATTCCGCGTTATTCTGGCAGGTAATTCTCTCAGACAACAGCAACATGATCTACTCTCCCAAGACAATGATCGAATTGTACTCTTGTTCAACAGACTTCTAAAATTTCTTCTTTCCAGCACAACATAACACACGATAAAGCTCGTGGAGCAGGGAGTGTGTGGACCTAGTAGCGAAAAGCGAAGAGGCGGGCCCAGGAGTTGTGAATCGACCCCTGTAATCACAAATTGACGAGTGCACACACAAAGCACACACATGTAGTGATTGATGAGAGGGAAGGGAAGCTTGAGGATGAAGACTAGTGAAAGTAACCATCACACATTATGCTCGACTTGTCTGTTATTAATGTCGGACAAGATAAATATTTTACTTACAACCTCGACCAGACTAATATGTTCCCTCCTCACCCCCCCGCTCCCTCAACCTTAAATCTCCCCTTCCCCTCACCCCCGCTCCCTCAACTTTATATCTCCCCTTCCCCTCACCCCCGCTCCCTCAACTTTATATCTCCCCTTCCCCTCACCCCCGCTCCCTCAACTTTATATCTCCCCTTCCCCTCACCCCCGCTCCCTCAACTTTATATATCCCCTTCCCTCACCCCCGCTCCCTCAACCTTAAATCTCCCCTTCCCCTCACCCCCGCTCCCTCAACTTTATATATCCCCTTCCCCTCACCCCCGCTCCCTCAACCTTAAATCTCCCCTTCCCCTCACCCCCGCTCCCTCAACTTTATATATCCCCTTCCCCTCACCCCCGCTCCCTCAACCTTAAATCTCCCCTTCCCCTCACCCCCGCTCCCTCAACTTTATATCTCCCCTTCCCCTCACCCCCGTTCCCTCAACCTTATATCTCCCCTTCCCCTCACCCCCGCTCCCTCAACTTTATATCTCCCCTTCCCCTCACCACCGTTCCCTCAACCTTATATCTCCCCTTCCCCTCACCCCCGCTCCCTCAACTTTATATCTCCCCTTCCCCTCACCACCGTTCCCTCAACCTTATATCTCCCCTTCCCCTCACCCCCGCTCCCTCAACCTTAAATATCCCCTTCCTTTCTCCCTATGTAGTATGTACACATACAAAGTATATAGTAGCACAAAACACCATAATAAACGGGAACGTAAAAAATTATAATATATATATACGTGTACATTATAGCGTCGTCTGCTTGGACTCAAGGTTAATAATTAATATTGTATGCATACATTTTCCTATCCACTTAATACTATATTACCGATGGCATTATTAATAGCTAAAATAATGTTATTGTGCTTTATAGTATTATCTGCTCTTATATTGTTAGCTATGTGGATAGGTAGGATGTTTATTCTGAGTGACAGACGCTTCACTACAACCTAACTGTCGTTAGGTTGTTAGTGTCTGGTGGTCCCTCGCACCAACAATGATGTTCATGTGTCACGAGGTATTGTAAGGCTTGGAGTGGCCTTAAGTCAGTCTGGGCCTAATTATTATAATCATGGAGGAACGCTAAACCCGTAGGATTATACAGCGCTTGTGTGTGTGGAGGGGGGGATGGAAGGTATTCCGACTCAATTCAGGGAACCGCAGCACAGATCCAATTACCAAGGGAACATACTACCTCAGTTACCCGCTGACCTCTCATAGACATGTCAAGTTCTCTCTCCGGTGGTCGATTTCTTAGTTGATTACCCTGCTTAAGTCTGTCACTTTCGAGTTCTCCAAACTCTGGTGAATTATTGGTTCAGTTAACTGAATAAGTTTTAGTAACCATTGTAGGTTACCTTGTGGTTGGTATAATTGGTGAAGATAGTTCAAAGTCCGAACTTATAAGGTTGATTTATCCATTTTAATAGGCTGGTTGAACTTGACCTTTATAATTAATGAAGTTTATATATATATATATATATATATATATATATATATATATATATAATTATATATAATATATATATATATATATATATATATATATATATATATATATATATATATATATATATATATATATATATATTATATATATATATATATAGTAGCGATAACTCAGTAACAGTCCCAGATTTTCGCTTAGCAGATTACGATGGGCTTAGAGAACACTTATCATCTGTTGACTGGGGTAACGAAGAGAGCTATCAATATGACAGTTTTCTGAACACTATACATGCTGCTCAAAGAACGTTTATCCCATATAAAGAAATTAGATCAAATAGAAATGACCCAAAATGGATGAATAATAGGCTCAAATATCTACTAGGGCATAAGAAAGGAATTTATAGGCGTATCAAAAGAGGTGAGGGTCATCTTATGAATCAGTATATTGACATTAAGAGGGACATTAAAAAGGGGATAAGAAAAGCTAAAAGGGACTATGAAATTAAAGTTGCTAGGGATTCTAAAACTAACCCAAAAAGTTTTTTTCAGGTCTATAGAACAAAAGTTAGAGATAAGATAGGTCCCCTTAAAAATAACTATGGGCACCTTACTGACAAAGAGAATGAAATGTGCTCGATTTTTAATAATTATTTTCTCTCAGTTTTTACACAGGAAGACACTAACAATATTCCAGTAATTAATTTTTATAGTGGGCTAGAAGAAGATAAATTATGTAACATCACAGTCACTAGTGAAATGGTTGTGAAGCAGATAGACAGACTGAAGCAAAATAAGTCGCCGGGTCCTGATGAGGTTTTTTCAAGGGTTCTTAAGGAATGCAAAATGGAACTCTGTGAACCATTAACTAATATTTTTAATTTATCTCTTCAAACAGGTGTAGTATCTGATATGTGGAAGATGGCTAATGTAATTCCTATTAAACCATACCCCCGGCCGGGATTGAACCCGCGGTCATAGAGTCTCAAAACTCCAGCCCGTCGCGTTAGCCACTAGACCAGCAATCGTGTCATTACGATTTCTTGAGTCAGTAATTCCTATTTTTAAAACAGGGGACAAGTCGTTACCGTCAAATTACCGCCCAATAAGCCTGACCTCAATTGTAGGCAGATTACTAGAGTCAATTATAGCTCAGATTATAAGAAGCCATCTCGATAAGCATAGCTTGATTAATGATACTCAGCATGGATTCACAAGAGGCCGGTCTTGTCTAACTAATTTATTAACTTTCTTCAGTAAAGCTTTTGAGGCTGTTGACCACGATAAAGAATTTGATATTATTTACTTAGATTTTAGTAAGGCTTTTGATAGAGTTCCGCACCATAGACTGTTAAAGAAAGTGGCAGCTCATGGCATTGGGGGAAAAGTGCTCTCGTGGATCGAGTCATGGCTCACTGACAGGAAGCAGAGAGTGTCCATAAATGGGGTTAAATCCGAGTGGGGATCTGTAACAAGTGGCGTTCCACAGGGATCAGTCTTGGGCCCGTTGTTGTTTATAATATATATCAATGATCTTGATGAGGGAATTACTAGTGATATGAGCAAATTCGCCGATGACACAAAGATAGGTAGGATAATTGATTCAAACGTAGATGTTATGGAACTTCAGGAGGATTTAAACAAACTCTATTCTTGGTCAGAAAAGTGGCAGATGCAGTTCAATGTAGATAAATGCAAGGTTCTGAAGCTTGGGGGTGCCCATAACCCTAGTACTTATAAGTTAAATGATGTAGAACTTAGCCATACAGATTGCGAAAGGACTTGGGGTTATGGTGAGCAGCAACCTTAAACCAAGACAGCAATGCCTAAGCGTACGTAATAAGGCAAATAGA